AGTAAGATTTAAACTGCTCAGGGCACACTCTTCATACGGATATATAAATTTACACAAACTTTACATTTACTTTCACAGAGATTCATGACTACACAATAACAGTTGACTTTAGTGGTTTACTATTAAAACTATGGAGTTTAATAATCAATTTTCTTTAAAACATTTTTCGTATACAAGTTAATATTTCCTTAACGATTTTTTTAATTTTCAACAACTTATACTATTATTAACCTTAACCTTTTGTACCGGAAAGTTACCGTATTAGTCACTTCTTATAGAGCCAAAATATTAAATAAATACCCAGAGAAAATATCAAAAGGTTTCATAAAACACAGTTTGACACAATTCCTAAATATATTTCAAGAAAAGATGGTTGACCTATAGCGGCTAGGTGTCACTAGCTAGCAAGAATGAATATAAAGCTCTTTCAAAATATTGACATGATTAATAGAGATGTGCCTTTCATTTTGCCACCAAGCTCTCCATTATTGTTGGGTATCTAATATTGTATGTAGTTGCTAGGATTCGCAGTGAGATCATATATACGTAGACAATGAAAATTTTAGAAACATAGGTGGGAAATAGTGAAACCAGCAAAATTTTATTAGAAACCGTTAAACACTGTTCCATTTAGCACTATTAGCTTGTATTGAGGGTATTTTAATGGTGCCATTTGACCATGGTTTTATCCCTCAAGGCATCCGCAGACCTGGAGAACCAGCTAAAACTTGGAGAAGAACAATTGAAGAAGAATTAAGAGAAGCGAACTATTCCTGAGTGATATATGCCGCGAATCGAATACCCAAATCCGATATAAAAATATGGTAGAGGCCCTATGCTCCACTGGGAGATAAGGATAAAAGAAGAAGAAGAAGAAGAATTTGACCATTAGAAATTCATATTGAGAGTATTCACGAAAATTCGTAAATGTAACTTAAACTGCTTACATTTAAGTTTAGTATAACAGTTGCTTATTCAACTGATAAAACTTTGTAGAAAATGTAAGACTTCATTATAAAAATTATATTTACTTTCAGGGCGAAGGACCTAGAGTTCAGTTCCTAGTTCTTAGTTAACTTAAAACTTAATTTTAATGTTGACTGACAAATAAATAAATAAATTTCATTTATTTAAAAAATTAAATATAATGAATTGCTTTAATAAATCATTTGTTTTCACTTTCTTTTGATATTATTTTATTTATATTAAAATGTCAACTAACTTACCAATTATTTAACCCTAGTCGGACGGACTTTCCAATTGCAATAACTTTTTTTGCCTATCGCAGCGACCTGAAATTGAAAAATCTCTCTATACTTTGCTTTAGATAATATCTTTAAAATTTTAGAAAAATATCCGGGCAACTTTCTGAGATATGAAGTTGAATTGATTTCACTTTCACTTAAGACTTGTTAGGGACAATTGTTGTACATTAATGTATTTTGTATAAAATGATGAAATAAAAAACATTTTTTTAAGACAGGTCTTATAAGAAAAATTAAAAGTTTAGTATAAGAAATGGAAATCCGCTGATATAATGTATTTCATCGACTTTCTTCAATAGAGTGTTAATCGTAAACAGGTTCCACGCAAACCACATATGATTTTGGTCTTTCTTTTCAACTCAAATGTTAGCAAATGTGACAGCTACTAAGATTTGCGTTGGCTCCACTTCTGCCATAAGTTACTTTAGCACTAGTTCCTTGTTCTGGTGGTAGCAAAATAGGTCATCCAAGAACTATTTTTACTGCACTTCAAAGAGAATGGTTATTCATCATTTTTTTGTTTGTACTACGGTTTTTAATTCAAGCCATGTAGGTATAGCTATTTGGTAAGATCTTTGAGGAACTTTATTCATTGTTCCTTTATTTTGAACCTTGGGTGATGCTGTGAGTAGATAATATAAGATGACAATCCAGTGACATCAATCATGTTGTATAACATTGCTAGAGGCCAAAGTATCGTTATTCGTTTACTGTATATTCACTCAACATTTTGTCCATCACGTCGATGCTACCTTGTGTGATTACAAATTAGGATTTCAAAAACAAATCACTATTATTAATTTACCATAAAAATCCTGGAAAGGGGAAGATTTTTCATTCTATATATATGAAGGTACAATTGTACCTCTGCCGCCTCTTAACATTGTAAAGACTCCCAGTCCGACAAGGGTTAAGCAAACAACTTCTAAAATTGTTTATCAAAATGTAAGTTAGGTGGTTCGGCCCCGAACTACTTCAGGGGCATGGTTATTGGGCAAGAAGACTAGGAACTATACTAACCGAAGAGCTTGCACAATGAGCTAACTGTTCTATTTCATAGATTACTCGATGAGTACACTCAATAGAAGATGATTATTCTTTTAAGCTACTTAAAGAGTAGGTTTAACTAGCAAAGCGTATCTTGCAAAGACCGGAACTAATGTCTTCTCGAAAAATAGCGTAAAAGATTAAAATATAACCATTTTATGGGCCTGTGGTACTTATGTCACGAATTGACAGAGGCCTGTGGAGCGGCAGTTGTGAAACGCTGCTTTGGTTATGGGTTAGGCTAAGGACCAAGCTGATCTATTGTGCACCTTTTTGTATTTCGAAATTTAGTATTTCGTCGAAACGAGATTCTAAGCCGCAGTAGAAATTTTTAATCAAATTAGTAATTTAAGAAAAAATTTAAATTTATAAATCACTGACTTATTTTAAGACTAGCCTATGAAGTGTTAAGAAATGCTGCATGTATGTCTTAAGTGCTTTTATACTGCATGCCCAATAAGGCATGATCTTAAGTTTAGACGTTGCTTTCTTTAAACCGTATTATTGCTATTAAATAAATAAATTAATAAAATAATTCAATCAAGTGAGTTTTTGGATTGACCAAAATTGGGTCTTTCTAGCGGTGGTAGAGCTTCCGATTGTGTGCAAGCACTACATAGGCTCCCTTCGGATGGAGGTCTTAAACGTCTTCATCCTCAGTTTGGTATGCACCTAAAATTTTGTGTCTTCTGTGGCCAAGTGCATCACAGTTGCTGCCTTAGATGAATCGTTGTAAATTAAAGCAGGATCAATTCTAAGGATTTCTTTGGCTGAAGTTTTAATCATCTTTTCTTCTTCTTGAGTTCCTTTTGTCCAAAAAAAAAAAATTAAATAAAAACATTAATACTTTAGGATATTTAAACAAATTAGATTTTTAAACAAATACAAATGAAGTTTAAATTTTACTTTGACAAAATGGTTTTATTGCCTTACAACACCAAATGTTTAAATGTTGGCTTTATGGTCTGTACAATAGGTTTTTTCCTTTTAAATTGTAAAACTCTGTCTGTGACAATCATTTTCCAATAATTTTCCTGCTATTGTAAAAGTCGCAATAAAAAGTTAAATGTAAATACGGGAAACAAGTATTTATGAGTTGTGATAAAGTGTGCCTTAGGGGCAAGTTTTGTGCAATTTCAGATACAAAGGGTAGCAAACGGGAAAGTCATATTGTCTCTTTACAAGACATAAGTAACTTTAAATGATTGTAATAAATATGGTACACAAAAGTTTATATGTCGAAAAATAGTCACAGTTAAACATATTTTGAGGATATGTAATGAAATATAGTCACTGTGGAAAAATATAAATACGAAATGTTTTATACTACATCAGTAATGGTATTTGGATAACTGTTACCGATATTTATAGAAGCATAAAAATTTAAAGAATATGATATCAGTTTTTCAGTTTACTATATATACTAAATTTAATTACATTTCATAATGAATTTTATATAAATCATTAAAATCTGTTCTCTGGCTTTTTTTTATTTCGAACCAATGTCAACACTATAACCAATAAAAACTGATTTCATTACCTAAGACATCCATAAGTATTTGTGTTTTGGTTTTTTGGAAAAACGCCTTGTTTACCGTAATCTAAATATAACCCTACTAATACCGTATCACTTATTCCTCTGCATCCTGAACATAATAGTCTATGTCTGTGGTAGCAGCCGAAGTTACTACCTCCATAAGAACCACTTAAAAATATGTCAATAAGGATAATGTTGAATGGATATATATTTAAAAACAAAATCCAAATAATATTAACAGAAACATGGTTTTATTGTACGCCATACGACAGGAAGAAAATTATTGTATACGACACGACTTAAGCAAGATATTATTACACCGAAGCTAGGAACGCTCAAGGAAGTTTCTTGATAAGAGATATATATATATAAAAATATATGTTGGCACAACAAAGTGAATATACGTATAAAAGTATACAGAACGAATGCCAAAATAAGTCGACTGAAAGAGAGGTCCACACATTGCAGAACCATATTCAATATACTGAAAAGATTTAGAACAAGAGAAAACGGTAATAGAACAATAAAAGTCAGGAAAAAGGGTCAGGAGAGGAGAGATGAATAACTTAGTATAGGATTTTTAATCAAAACTATAGAATTTTTTTTTGTGGTTAAAATATACATATTATCTTTTTTTTAAATCCCCCTTGGGACTTAATATAGCGATTTCAGCAAACTAAACTAGAAGTACGTCAAATGAGTTTTTAAATCATCACCTATGAAGTCTTCCATGATGTCAATACACAATTTTTGGACAGCTTGTGCTCTCTTTAAGAGCTTTAGTTTCATCAGCAAATTCATTTTTATTAAAGAGCAAAAGTAGTACTACGCTTGATCCACCACTCTCCGTATATATATGGAACTTACCAAATATAATACATTTTCTAGAGAACTTCTATATACTTCTTCGTCTACTTTGAGGAATCGCTGCGCAATGTTAGTAATTATTATTTTATTATATATATATTATATATATATTATTATATATATTATTATATATATAATTATTATATATATTATTATATAGTAATTATGATATACTATTTAGGTAGATATTTTATTCCAGAGTTATTAAGTATAAACAATATGTATTTTATATCACACTAAATAATTTATTTATACATTTAAATTTTCACATAAATTACAATATGTTTAATTTTGTTAAGATATTTACAATAAATTTTTACTTTTCATCTGAGAGCCAGCATAATTAAGCATGGACTGAATGCATAATTACATTAATATATTGAGCGCTCCATTGACTGTGTCTAATCTGGTTTTATAACAAAATTTTTTTATTTGATCTTGAAGAAATTTGTTTACATACTTAAGTACTTTCTGAGTTTGTGTGCCACTGACGTCCCTAAACGTATGCCGATTAATTTTGGTAAACATTTTTGGATTTACATTTGTACTTGGGTTGATATTTGGATTTGGAAACCTTAATAGTTAATAGATCAGTCAGCTTGAGTTGGAAAATATGTTTTTTCACAAGGTCTAATTTTTTAAAATTATTTAATTAATTTTTGCTAATATAATAATTTATTTCACGGTTACTTGCAATAATGTAGTGCAATAAGGTTTCGGTCTTGTAAAGTTTAAGTTGATCTGAGGTGGAAAAATAAAATCCAGGCCGAAATTTTCTATAAAAAAAATTTAAAAAAAGGTATTTTCTAAATTTTCATACCATGAGACTTATTTTGTTTGAACCAACCTTACTGCATAAAGTTTAGACTGATTGTTCACTTTGATGCTTTAGCTTTCCTAAGGCTTGCTTGGCATGGGTATACATATCCTTTTGTGTCTCCTGCCTTTTCCGGTAGAACTCCTCATTAATAGGCTTCGAACACTTCAAATTGCAAAAGGACTGAGCAGAGGCACAAGCTAAGTTCTTATCACAAATGTCATCGTCATTCAAATCGGAGCAGTAACATTCAACATCAAATTGAACGCGTTTTTTAGGACCCTCAGTTTCAGTTTGAGTTTCAGATGCAGATTTGAGTATAGATTTACGGTGAGACATTTTTGAAATACAATAATTTTTTTATTTAAAACCAAATACCAAAATTTTAAAAGAGAAAAATGTGTGATTTTTTTAATTGAATTTTAAATTAAATATGTATACTGACAATTTGCTAATCAAATTTGTTTTAAAATAAAGCTAAACCAATTTAAAATTCTATGTTTGCTGCGTTTAAAAATAAATAATAAAAAAATTTTGAAGTACTCATGTAAAGGCAATAAATATTATAAAATTCCATAAAAAACAAAGTATGTATACGTATAGTTTATATAATACGGCGTTTACATTGGCCGAAAATGGCTCATTTTGAATGAGCCATTTGAAAGTGTTTACATTCGTTCTATTTCATTTGTTCTCATTTCAACAGCTAATTTTTCAACTTGCATGTTGATTTGATTTTTGGCCTGTGCCAAAAAAATGTTGCATGAAGGTTAAATATGCCTTCAAACCTTACATTAGAAACTTAAAACATATTTTAACCTTCGATTAAATACTTTTTGGGAGAGTAAAAGTTTCTAAAAGCAGTGCATCGTTTTCAAGAAAATGCAACCACCAAACATTTGTTTACCTTTTTTTGTAAATATGTTAAAAACAGCTTTTTCAAACTGTCAAAATGCCATGAAGAGCTTTCATTTAGGGTATGTTCAATGGATTCCTTTGCATTTGGAATGTATGTGGAATGCATTCGAACGTCATTCATACAGAATGTGAGAAAATTGCTCATTTTGTGCTTGAAATTTTATATGCAAGAATGAGCCATTCGATACTCATTTTCGATTTTTGACCAAAATGAGCCATTTTCGGCCAATGTAAATGCCGTATAAGTTATGTGGGCGATACACACTTTAGTGTATTAAAAGATATTCGCGAAAATCGCATGAAGATACATTTAAAGAACCTTCTTATCTCATCGAATAATCACGGCATGTAATAAAATAGTAACCTGGAAGAATTGTTGAAGATCGCATACCGTGAGGAGCACTGGATAAAAAGAGAATTTTTGAGGGGTTGTTGTTTGAAAGTGTGACTAATGAGCAGGTGATTTAAATTCTAAATAATTAAAGATTAACATTAATTAGAGAAACTAATATAAAATTTGAATTTGAAATTTGAAGTTTTCAATAATTAGTTAACTTTGGAGTGCTTTGCTAACAGGTAATTTGTAGATAAAAGTTTCTAAAGAGATGGTTAGACAACCCCACAGTCAAAAATAAACTCGAAATAAAGTAAATAAAGTAAATAAATATGGTGGAGTTTTAGTTAAATTGGAATCAAACCTACCAATTTGAAAGCAGCAAAGTTAGTAAGTACTGCTAGGAGTGACGAGCGAAAATTCAAATTCCCTCATTAAAACCGTGATCTAGTTATTCGAAACTGAAACTCACTTTCAGTTTTAGTTTACTTATGATTTTAATATGAGGTTTGGTAGTAAGTAAGGTAGTAACGATATAAGAAACTTAAAAGTTGATGTGTTGGGACATGGAAGGGAAAGAATTATGGAAAATGAGATAATAGATGGTTTTTAATAGAAGAATAGATAGTGACAAGTTAGGGAGTATATTAATATGAGATGCAATGTTCATATGCGTTTATAAATAATAAAAGCTCATATTTCGCAAGAAATCGAGCATGTGATAAATAGAGGTTAGGGTTTTTACTAATCTGAAAAAAGCTTGTCTAAGATAATGTAAAGCTACTTAAAAGCCGTTCAAAGCAGACAACTTCGTGAATTTTTACGAAAATGGATAAAATAAATTTCGTGTGCTGATTAAGCATTACTTTTTACGTAAAAAATCTATCACTGAAACTAAGGAAAGACTTGATAAATACTCGTTTTGTTACTGTGGACGAAACATCGATCCATCACAACACGCCAGAGACCAAGGAACAATCGAAACAGTGGGTTGCTAGGGGTGAACAGAGTCTGTCAGCCAATAAAGTCATGGCTACAGTTTTTTGAGATGCAAGGGGTGTCATTCACATCGATTATCTGGAGAAAAAGCTAAAATGATCACCGGCGAATATTATGCATAGCTTTTGAACAGATTCGATGTTGATTTGAAGTAAAAACGGCCGCATTTGGCGAAGAAGAAAGTGCTATTCCATCAAGGCAATGCAAGTGTACACACTTGTCTAGTCACGATTGCCAAAATCCACGAATTGGGATACGAACTGCTACCCCATCCAGCATATTCTCCAGATTTAGTCCCCTGCGACAATCTTCTGTTTTCAAACCTAAAGAAATGGCTGGGCGGTAAGAGATTTGAATTGTATTTTGAGAGCTTTGAGAAAACCTATTATTTGGAGAGAATAAGAAAATTAGAAAAACACTGGACTAAATGTATCGAGCTAAAAGGCGATTATGTAGAAAAATAAAATGTTTATTTGCTGAATAAAATTTGTTTTATTCAAAAAGTCACTGACTTGTCAAACCGCCCTCGTATCATGGTGTTAAAACTATTTATATTCTTGTACTTGTGATTATGGTTGAAATTATAGTTACTTGATTTGTTTGAAAAAATTTTTTGCGGACAATCGCTTTTTTTTTAAAAGTGTTGGTAAGTTTATTGTTCATGATAATTTCGGTTTATCGATAGTTAATTATCTTACAAACACTTATTAATAATATTCTTTTTGTAGTGCAATAATCATTCTTTATTATTATTCTTACAAAAAAAAAACAATATTCATAGCTTGATGGGATCTACTCCTATTTAACAGTAAGAGTGTATGTTAAGAGTTCGTATTCGGTTTTATGAACTGTTCCAAGAATCCGATGAATCGAATGGAAGATTTATTAAACGAAGAGTAGAAATACCAATACGAAGTTGATGGGATCTACTCCTATTTGAAAAAAATGTACATAGTTCTCATAGCGTAAGAGTAAGAGTGTAAGAGTTCGTATTCGGTTTTATGAACTGTTCCAAGTATCCGATTAATCGAATGTAAAATTTATTAAACGAAGAGTTAAAATACCAATCCGAAGTTTTCGAATATTCGGATTTGCGATTATTATTCGTAGAGAAATTATTTGAAGCCTTTGTGAGCGATAGTTAACGCTGGATTCACACAAGAGTTTTGCTTGTAATTTTGGCTGTCCACTGTTGTTGCTTACAATGTATTTTTGACAGCTAAAATTACAAACAAAACTCTTGTATGAATTCAGTATAAAGGGAGAGCACAAACTACGAATTTTTAAATAAGTTCACAACAAATAATAATTGCAAATTCGATTATTCGAAGACTCCGGATTTACAAAAAATCCGATTTTCATTCCAATTCCGGAGACTTCGTTGCTGTCCGAATATCCGAATAATATGAACAGCACTACTAATGAATAAATTATTTTTCGAGTAGTAAGCACTTAAACATACTGTCTCTCTCAGTAATTATTGAAAATATGTACTATCCCTCCAAATTATATTTTTTCTCGGATTAAGAAACCATTTCTCGCTTTTATATAGAATAAGTCGGAAATATGCTGTTAATACATAGTATAATGATACATTGATTTAGAAAAATACTAAGTCTATTTTTTCCTCTTTCCCCTGATTACTCGAATGAAGTTTTCACAATGCTGTGGAAAATTTCTCCATTCATTTCTAAGAGGTGGTTTATTGAGTTCAAGTTTCACACGGAGGTTTTCGATGAATCCAACTACTGTCAAAAAAAAAAAAATATTCAGGAAATATAAGTTTAGAATTTAAATAAAATTTGATTAAAAATATATATGCTATTTTATATGAAAAATAGTAAATTGCACGAAATTTCTAGTATAAACATACAACGAAATAAGAATAAAACAGTAAAATAAACTTATGCATTTTAAAAAACTCTTTATTTCATACTATCGATGTATTAAACTTGACATTTCTGGAGGTACAAGATCTCCCCATGAAGGCATTTTAATTTTAGTCGTTGGAATTTCTATTACGTCAATATTCTTTGCTTGAAAACGTGGTCCCACAGCATAACGCAGCGTAAAAAGTGATAAGCGTTTTGTGTCTTGTAAACTTAACAAGGGCTTATACTTCACATTTAAGAAATATCTAGCTCTATCTCGCTCTGATCCAAAAGCGGCATAGAAAACTCTATTGTATTCACCCAACTTAGTTAAGTACCATAACTCTGGTACATCGTCGGTTGTTACACCAGCGAATATTAGTTCAACATTAGTTTTCTCAACTCGCATTATATTTGATAAACCGATTACTATTTCACCTAAACTCTGACCATCATTATGCTTAGTAATTGCATATTCAATCAAAGGAGGAACTTCACTTTCTGTGCCAATTGCGACAGCTATTATTTTCTCATTGATAGCTAATATTCCGTGAAATTTTGATTCCGAATTAGTCGTATGAGTGACTGAGTCTCTCTCCACAGCTAAGACCACACCTAAGTAGTTCAAAGATGCATTATTCATTTCAAAGTTATGCAAATTTGGTAACTTACCATAGGGAGTGCAGACGCCAACGATATTTAAATTATATTTTGATAACGATTTTTCTTGAGACATGTTTGCTATGATTTCCTTAGTTTTTCGTTTTAACAGTAATGCTTCCTGTAAATATCATTTTCAAATATCACTGTAAAATTAGGAATATGTAAAAAAATAAAAACTATTTTTTTTATCCAAAAAAAGAAACAGAAGAATCCTTCTATTTCTGGAGCTTTGATGTCTTAGCAACTTTATTTAGCTAATTTTGTAGAATGGTAGAAGAGTGGTAGATACTATAAACTTTCAACTTGTCTAAGACGAGTTTTGGCGATTTGAAGATTATACTAAGTTATATATAGTAAGTTATGGTTCAGTATTATTGACGGAGTTCTGTTCATATAGTTCTGTTCCTAGTTTATAATTTTGCTTAATTCCAGTATCAAAAAGTCTATCGAGAAAAAAAGTGGTATAGAAATCCTTGTCAACGTGACTAAATTTTAATCATAATTCTATCTTTTTTATTAATCCCAATTTTCTAACTTTATTTATTACTTTTTTTATATCTTAGCAGATATCCGAGGACGACTGTTTTGAGTATAAGGGCGGAAAAAACTAAAGTTTTAAAAAGTGGCTTCAATGTAGTGACGTCATCGGTATCAACGAATTTTACCACTGATGGTACCCACCGAAGCATAGAAACTGTGTAATCTACAGTCTATAGACTTTAAATATATATTAGAACGCATAAGCGAGAGAACAAAGTTACATTTATTCAAATGTTAAATCGGTACTATTTTGCAGATATGAAACATGGGGGCTCTCAAAGAAATTACGGACTCATCTACATACCTTCATTCACAAGTGCTTGCGTTGTGTTCTTAAATTACATTGACCTGTGCAAATTTCCAATGATGATTAATGTATGAAACTAGAAATCATAAACGGCTGTGTATTAGCTATACAGACCTATATAAAGACCTATAAAGAACGTAGTTAGACATGCATTGCGGCTCAGCGAAAACAAGGCATCGAACTATTGATAAAAAAGAATAATGATACCTACTATTTGCGGAATGATGTCAAGAGAAGACATTAACAGAATACAGGTCATATGGTCCAGCAGTAGTTAAACAGGTGGTGAGTAAGTTAGTAGAAAAGTGTAGTCCATGTCCACAGGTCCATATTATACAGACAGTCGTGTTCATGTCTAAAATAAGATTCTTGTTTTTTTTTCAATGTTAATTGAATAATTAAAGAGAACACAAAATTTTGATTAAACTTTGTTCATGGTAATAAACTTTTCTGTACTTTACTCAAAACTAAAATTTAGAATGTATAAGGCAGCTAAAATTACGTATATTTTGGTGTGAAAATACTTATGGATGCCTAAATAACTAAGTTTTCTGTCATATATAACCAAGGACGATTAAGATTAATAAATCCAGACAACAATGGTTAGTGCAGTCCGTATCGCAATGGTCAATAAATGCCTCTGGGAAGAAGTGTTATATCATTAAATGATATCTTAACTAGTAGTTACAGTATGAAATTTATGATTGTGTTTTGACTGTGTGTATAACATGCATTCATGGGCATGACTAAAAGAAGTATAAAATGGACGTTACTATACGTCGTATGACTTCTAATCCCTGAAATGCTATAAAAAAAAATTATTAAAGATACGACAGCTGTACTGAGCAGATTAGCTAATTGATTGTTGGAATGTTTCGAACTTATATACAAATAAATACATGTGAATTTGTATTTGTGTTTAATTAAAACAATTTACTTGAAATCCATAATGATCTTCCATACAGTGTACTTATGATGATTTTTTGTACCTATAAGTTTCATAAAAAACGCTGCGTATATATTTTATCACGGCTTCGAAAATTTATTACATGTACTTTGTAAATAATAAAAATAAAATATTTATGTAGGATGTAAACGATTCTCACTGTCCCTCAAGGCAATCAAAAAGCAATCGAAACTGTCAGTTGCACACGGAAAGTCCAACTTCATTTGCATTTGTTGGCGGATGGAAAATTATGTTATAAAAATACAATACCAAGTACGCTTTTTTCACAAAAAAAAAAACCTGCAAAACTACGATAAATGTCCCGAACGTCCTGAATATCCTGGATATCCTGTTTCTTGTTTTTTGTATCTCATTTGCAACAATATTGGATTGTTTATTTTAAGTAAAAAATTGATAAAGTTTTTCATTAATGGAAACAAGTTGCTGCAGTTGCCTTTGAAGGATTCCACCATTTTTTTCTTTTACTTTTAAATTTTTCATTTTTACTTAAAAACTACACTCGAACTTAATTAACTCTTCATCGAGGTCCGCAGAACTTTTGCAAAATTTCTCGTTTATTTGAAGCATCTTCCATTACAGACAGCAGATTGTTGGTACGAATTTACTGAGGAATACCATCATTCACGTTCTTTTTTGTCAAGTATGTGCAGTTTTCGGTTAAGTACATTGGCTTTGCGTTGATTGTGGGAAAGTTTTATGGATTTCACAAAAATATGTGACGCGTTTGGTGTTAACTTTTTGTTAAATAAATGGAATTTTAATTTCATTCCTTCATTTATTTTTTTATACCAAATTACGAATATATTTTGGAGTTTTTCAATTGCTTACGATTGATGTCATACGTCTATGAGGTGCAGACCTTCGATTTTGGGAGATGGAAATGTAAGTGCAAGCTTTTAATTGAGTTGTTTTATTTAACATTGTACAGTTTTTAATAAATGTAAGGATTTTAAATTAATCAGCTTACAAGATGCATTTAATTAAATATTTCCAAATAAAACTTCAATTATATATAAATATATAGAATATGTTGAATAGTATGTATGAGGGATGTGATCAATTTACTTATACATAAATAGTAAATTATTATTATTAATATATAAAACAGCACTGCAACCGTCGCATCTATTGTGCCGCCTTCTGAGTTTAAAGTTAGTCTCTAAGCCCTGTTGCGTAAATAGAAAGTAGTATAGAACCTACTTTATAGAGTTTTATTGCTTCTCCCGTAAGGGTACACATTCCTAGGGGTTTATGCCGTATGTACACAAGCGCAGTGCAGTCTTATAGCACATGTGAAGTTGACTTTTCATTCTCTTCCCAGAATCTACAGTTTGGATCCGTATGCTTACTCAGTTTCGTAAGGTGGTATTTCAGTTTACAGTGTCCTGTTAAGATTTAAAGTTTTTCTTTTAATATATTCATACAATTCTGGCTTCTCGTGTTGTAATAGGTACCAATAAGTGATTTGAATTGTGTTAATCCTGGTAGATTATTCCAGTCATCCTTTTGGTTTTGGTCCTCCTGTGTCTGTGTCCTAATCCACAGAAAGGTTCATGCCCCATCATCAGTGTGGTTGCTCCGTTCCTGCCTAGTTTGTGTACGTAAACGTTTCCGCGTACGCTAGTATGTCCCGATACCACGAGAATTGACATCTGTTTTTATTCGCTGAGCAGGTTTTGTAGATCAAGACATTCCTGCACCAGTCTTGAAGACAGCTGACGCCAGTTTAGTGCCTTGATAGCCGCTTGGCTGTTTTTCAGTATTGCAATATTTTTTCCTTGGCATTTCCATTCAAAATGAAAAGGTACGCACTTAAATATTGCGTAAATTTCTACTTGAAAGATGCTAGTACTTTGTTCCAGTGCTTTCCAATGCTTCTTCTCCGATCGGACTATGCCCGGTCAGGCGATCCATCGGTGAATACCCCCCCCCCCCCCCCCGGTTTCCTTTATTGCTTTCTTCTGTTTTAAAAAGTTTGGTAAAGCTAAACTATGGATGTTTAGCAAGATTTTCGAACCTCTTGATGGAATAGAATCGGCAAGGGTGTGAGTTCTAGAAGGACCTCAATGGATGCCGTTAAACAAAAGTTTTTTTAACGATAATAAACGATGTTATATGAAAATTTGTGTGCGGAGTGAGTGTGCCAGTGGCGGGAAAACTATGAAAAAATTTTGGAATCTAGATAACAATGGAGGTTTTTTGGATACCAAAATTCAGCTTTCTACCTATCATAATTTTAGAGTTTTTAATAATTTTGTATGGGGAGTGGGTGTGGTAGTTGGTTGGAAAACCATGAAAAAATTTTGGAATCTAAATAATAATATAGGTTTTTTGGACACCAAAATTCAGCTTTCTATTTATCATAGTTTTTGAATAGTCTTGGCACATCACTAAATGCTCCATGTTTAGGGAAATATTTCCGCTGGTTCCAGTAGGCCGATTGTGTTCAAATTATATATAAAAGGAAGATTATCTCAAAAATTATACTTTAGGAAAATTATACATCAATATCTGTACTGGTTCCGAAAATATGGAATTTTGACCGCCTAATTTTTGTTTTGTCACACTGTGCGGCGCGGTCTTCTGGTTTGTATTTATCAGTTGACCATAACTGTAAGCCCTTTGTTATAGACATCTCTACATACAAAAAATTTTATGGAAAAGAATTCAAGTTTCATATCGTACTAAAGTTCAATTCAGTCAAACAGTAGGAATCATCGATGTAATTTTCTGTTCAACTTTTTATTTAATGATGATTTTAATTGTTGATGTTAATTGCCAATATTACAATTCTTAACAGAATAAAAAGAATAAACTTGTATACCAGTTAATACCTTTTAATGAGATTATCTATTTTACTAAGTAACTAATGATGTTAAAAATTTAATTAATTATTAGATTAAACTATGCTTGGTATACTTAAACAAGTATTACAGTTGCTATAAGTTAACTACTAAAGCCAAAATACTCGAGACAAAAGAGTGGACGACAATGTTGTGGTGAATGTTGACGTGGTATCCGAAAACAAATTATGTAAGTTCATCTTCCGAAAAAAATTTGTTAGTGCTCGTTTATATTGTTAATCTCAAATAAGCATTCAATGGTGAAGCATGTGCTGATAAAAGTGATGAATGAGATTTAAATCACATCGCCAGACATAAACTTAAAACAAAATAAATACCTACCGTGGAGGAAGAAGCAGAAACAATGCTGAAGAGGCGAAGTTTCCGCAAAAGCCAAACTAGATAATAGAAAATCACGCATATTAAGAGTTTAACCGCCTAAAAAAGTATAACCAATGGAC